TGCCAAGTGCAGCCAGCCCTGGCACCTGCTCCGGGAGCTTGCAGCACTGAGCGCCCTGGGCAGAGCCCCTGTGCTTGCCCCCCGCATTGCGGGGTGGCGCAAGGGAGGGCCCCAGAGACCATGACTGGGGCCAGGAGCCCAGGGGCTTCACCCTCCCTGTGTGACACAGGGTGGGGTCCCCCCAGGCTGGGCTGAGGGGCTCCCTGATCCACGGCCTGGTTCCGCAGAGAAAGCGGGACCGGGGCTGCCCGGCACCTGGATCAGGCAGGTGCCGGAGTCAGAGAGACACTGGCTGGGCAGGGAGCCGCACAGGCCTCCTCTGCCCAGTGCACAGGTGCCCCACACCCCAGCAGTGCCAGGGGTTACGAGGGCAGCGGCGATGGGGGAGGGCTCCTTCCCTGCCCCAGCCAAGGGGCTTCCTGGCCAGCAGGTGGGCTGAGAGTGAGGGGATCCCAGCACTGGCCCAGCCTCCCTGTCGGTGCTGTGGGGAGCGAGCAGCGCAGCCCTGGGAGTGGGGTCCAACGACTGAACCCCAGGGGCTGAGTGGGGGGCCGGCTGCAGCTACAGGAGAGTCGCAGCGTGGCCCAGCCTGGCCCAGCCTGGCCCCGCTGCAACTGCTACAGGCCTGGCCTGGGGAGAACAGGCCCAGTCCGTGCTGCCCTCTGCCCCACCGTCTGCCCTCTGCAGGGCCCAGCACCAGCCTCAGAGCCCCCGGCTGCCTTTGGAAACCTACGGGCAGGAGGAGAGGGCGACGGGTGTGTTTCTGGGACCGGGACCCCACTTACAAAGGGGGCTGAGGCCCCAACTCCTGGGACGGCTGGTGCAGCCTGGTGCATTGAGGGCATTCGGGAGGTAACCTAGCTCCCTCCTTTCACTGCACTAACCCCGTCACGTCATCCCACGTCCCCCGGAGCCAGGCTGTTCCCCAGTTACCCCCTGGCCCCTCTGGGCAGAGCCTAGCTGACCGCGTGGGGTCTCTGTACCTCCCTAGCTTCCCAGCACCTGTGGGGCTCTGTCCCGGTGCTTCTAACAGGGCAGGGACGTCCCTGGGGTGCGGGGCCTCAGTCAGCAGCAGAATGTTCCTTTTTGGTCAGGGTTAGTGGTGAACTCCCTGAGGTTCACCCAGGGCTGGTTTAATAGTGGGGGTGTGGGGACTGAGCAGATCCCCTTTGTGGGACCCCCGGGGGCAAAGAAGCACAGCACGGGGGGGTCAGTCCCCAGAGCAAGAGGCCGGCCAGGGGCAATGGGGCATGGCATGGTGGGGCCTTCCCCGCTCCACCCAGCCCAGTGCAAGGGCACTGTATACGAACCAGCAGTTGCCAGACGCTCACTGGCCCACCCGGCCCTGTGCTACCAGCCTGCCCCTTCCCCTGGGGGGTGGGCCCAGGCCGTGCCACACAGCCCCGACTCCTGATGCCCAGCGTTCCCCGGAACTGCTATGCCCAGCAGCTCCCCACACAGACCCTCCACCACTGCCCCCCAAGAGACCCCCACACTGGCCAGCAGCCCCCCACACACCTCCAGAGACCCATTCCCTCACACCCTGCCCCCTGGCCACACTCACTGGCCCTGCTGGAAGGCGACGGTGTCTGCCAGGCTGAGCTGGCAGTGCAGCCGGGGCCGATCCAGGGCCAGGGCGGGGAATCGCTCCGGCCTCTCAGGCGTGGCGGGACTAGCCGGGTAGGGAGCACACACCGTACGTGTGCAGTGGTTAGACAGGAAACAGCAAGGAACTGGACTGGGATTGAGTGAAGCTGTACGTGGCGTGTGTGTGCCAGAGGACTGTACGCTGGAGAGAGTTATGTGGGAAGTGGAGGTTTTAAGTGGGCTTTTAGAGGAAATGGAATGGAAAGGCAGCAAAACCGGGATCCCAGCTTTTTAAACAATCCTCCGACAACACACCAAAAAAGCTCATGTCTAGTTACTCATTCAAAATGAGAACAAAGGCACAGCAAGATTTCATCATAAATGAAGTAAACTCCTAAAGATTTCAGAACACAACGGCTCTGAGGAGACACCAGGGACGCAATACAGAGTCCACCTTGTCACAGAGAAACACAGTTAGACTCGTTTCAGAGTAACAGCCGTGTTAGTCTGTATCCGCAAAAAGAACAGGAGGACTTGTGGCACCTTAGGGACTAACCAATTTATTTGAGCATCAGCTTTCGTGAGCTACAGCTCACTTCATTGGATGCAGTTAGACTAGTCCTCTTTTTTGACCCAGCATAGTCTCCCCAAACAGAAGGGCACTGTTCCTGGAGAGGGTTTTTCTTGTTGGCGTAGGCCATCCACCTCCCCGAAAGGTGGGAACGAGGTGGAAAGAAGAATTCTTCCGCCCACAGCCCGGACTTATGTTCCCCGTGCAGACTAGACCTGAGGGTTGGTGCGTGATGAACAGTTAAGTCAAAATAGCTCCGTCCGTCAGGGGTGTGTAAAAGGGAAACCCGCTCCTGGGCGACACAGCTACACCGACCTAACCCCCAGCGTAGCTAAGGGCATTCGGGGAGGCGGTGGGCCTAAAGCGAGGGAAAGACCTCCTCCACCATGGGGTTGTGCCGGCCTAGTCTCCGTAGCACAGACTGGGTTGGCAACCCAAGAGAAAGAACAGAGAGCAAAAGCCAAGGCGGCCCTAGGGCAGGGGGTAAGCCTGCACGTTGGACAAGGGGACCAGGTGAGACAGGCATTTCCGACAGGCCGCCCTCCCGTCAGAGGAGGAAGAGCCCAAGAAGGAGGGAAGGGAAAAAGCTGCAAGCAGGGAAAGAGACAGAGCAGCCAGGCAGCTCCCCTTAGGGCAAAAGGCGGCACTGGTCCAATGCCCCCCAAGGCAGATTCGAGAGCAGGCCAGATCCAAAGTCCCAGGGAAGGACACGACAGGACTAAAGAAGCCAGCGGCCGAAAGCCCAGAGTGCTGTAAGCCGAAGTCTCCGAGCTCTGCTCTCCTTCATTGCACCGAAGCAAGGCCCCAGGCGGGTACTCGGCAGAACAGAGCCGCCAGGGGCAAACCCGACAGGAACACACAGGGCTCCACTTTCGCTCACCGAGAACGCGCAGCGCCGCGCACGGCCCGTTTCTCTGTCTTTCACCGCACGCCAGGGGAGAGCGCGAACGCAGTCCCCCACTACCACAAATTATGCAGTCGAGTTTCCCGCATTTGGGGAAATCGCAGGGGTCAGCACACCCGCAGTGCAATGGATGAGCCTCGCCCTGGGAAAACCACCTTCCTGATCATGGTGTCTCCCCTGCCAGGTAAGTATGACTTGGGCCGCCCCGGCCGCCGCCCGCCCTCGCTCGCCCCCCACTCTCAACCCACGGTGGGGCCCGCCAAGACACGCCCGCCGGCCCCGCCCGCGCCGGCCCCCGCTGCCGCCACCTGCCCCGGGGTGTCCCCGGGCCCCAGCCTTCTCCCCGCCGAGCCCCGCTGCCGAACTCGGGCCCCGCTGGCAGCCGGCTCCCGCTCCCACAGTGCTCTGCTCGCACACAGATCTGCATACGGGCTCACGCGGCTCCGCCCCCTCTCGGGCCCCGCCCCCTGCCTGCCCGGGCCGGGCGCTCTCCCCAGGCCCGCCCCGCCTCCCCCGCGCTCCGAGCCCGCGGCCGCCCCTCCCCCGCCAGGCGCCCTGGCCCACGGGCCGCCCGGTCCGGCCGGGCCCGCTCCCCGCGGCGGGGGGGGCCGAGCCGCCCCCGGCCTCAGTAACGCGCCAGAGCCCGGCGGCCCGAGAGCCGTAGCCGCCCGGCCCCGGGTCCAGGCTCCCGGAGAGACCCGGGCACAGCCGGGATCGGGGCCCCGCCTCTGCCGGGGGGGGGGACGCTGCGTTTCGCTTCCCCCCCCAGGGGATGGTACGAGACCCCAGTGACCCCCCACTGACCCCGCCGAGGGGGGTGCGAGACCCCAGTGACCCCCCAGTGACCCCGCCGAGGGGGTGCGAGACCCCAGTGACCCCTCAGTGACCTCCCCCTGAGGGGGGTGCGAGACACCAGTGACCCCCAGTGACCTCCCCTGAGGGGGGGTGCAAGACACCAGTGACCCCCCACTGACCTTCCCCGAGGGGGGGTGCAAGACACCAGTGACCCCCCACTGACCCCGCCGAGGGGGGTGCGAGACCCCAGTGACCCCTCAGTGACCTCCCCCGAGGGGGGGTGCGAGACACCAGTGACCCCCCAGTGACCTCCCCCGAGAGGGGTGCGAGACCCCAGTGACCCCTCAGTGACCTCCCCCGAGGGGGGTGTGAGACCCCAGTGACCCCTCAGTGACCTCCCCCCCGAGGGGGGTGTGATACACCAGTGACCCCCCACTGACCCCCCCCGAGGGGGGTGCGAGACCCCAGTGACCCCTCAGTGAACCCCTGAGGGGGTGTGATACACCAGTGACCCCCAGTGACCTCCCCCGAGGGGGGGTGCGAGACACCAGTGACCCCCCAGTGACCCCGCCGAGGGGGGTGCGAGACCCCAGTGACCCCTCAGTGACCTACCCCCGAGGGGGGTGTGATACACCAGTGACCCCCAGTGACCTCCCCCGAGGGGGGGGGTGCAAGACACCAGTGACCCCCAGTGACCCCGCCGAGGGGGGTGCAAGACACCAGTGACCCCCCAATGACCCCGCCGAGGGGGGTGCGAGACACCAGTGACCCCCCAGTGACCCCCCCCGGAGCTGGGTGCGATACACGAGTGACCCCCCGGAGGTAAATGTCTCTTCACCGGGGAGAGGAGGGAAAGAAGGATCCAAACCACGCTGTCAGTTCTGGGAAGTACCCGAAGGCGAGCGGCTGAAGAACAAACTGGGAATAGGCTGAGAAAGCCGCTGTTTAACTGACCTGCAAACAATGAGAAAGGAAAAGCTGCAAGAGCAGCCTTGCAACTCAGAGGCCTAAGAATAAGACGTTACTAATCGCGAACCAAAGAGTTACAAATGACTCAAAACCATCCGCTTAGTACAAACCAAATGTTAACACAGCCAACCGCACATTACTTCGCTGCTCTTCGACCATGAGATTCTCCCCATCGGGAGGTCCACCGTCCCTGGGGAATCAGTCCTGCAGCAACAGGGCGATGTGTGCTGTGGGTGGAGCAAGCTGCTATTCCATCTCCCAATTCCAAAAATCAGCTGAATAGATAGTCCTCGGATAGAGGAAGTAGCCACTATTAAAGTGATAAGAACAGATTTAAAATTTATATTCAAGCTACTGTTAAAATGATCTAAAATACAGGTTAATAAAAAACATTTCTAGTCCTCTGTGTCTAATGCTTAAATTATCCAAAAATAGCAAGTTTGGTTTAAAAGGTCCTAAAAGGCCCATCATCCATAGTCCGATACTTGGTGAAACCTAGGGACAGAACACACACCAATGTGGGGATTGTGCCCTGCTTCTTAACAGTCTGCCCTGAGGTTGGCACTCCCAGCCACGAGCTACTGCAGACGGCTGGAGCCCTCTGATGGAGCAGTAGCTGGGTAGCAGATAGGACACAACAGATAGGAATAGATACTTTTCACAATGGAAAGGGGTAAATCGCAGGCTTCCAAAGTATGAGACGAGAGGACAGACCTTAGGGCTGGTCAGTTTAGACAAGAGATGACTAAGGAGGGTGTGACGGAGCAGGAAGTGGGGCGGATTGACCTGGGGATGTCGCAGGGGAGGTTTACTGGGACTGTCTGCATTGGGGGTGGGATAGCAGGGTGGGGCTTCACTGGAGGGACTGATACCTGAGCCTGTCACCTGAGCCCAGGAGGGGGGTGGGGCCAGGTGACACCTTCTTCCTGGAGAAGAACAGGAGGACTTGTGGCACCTTAGAGACTAACCAATTTATTTGAGCATAAGGTTTTGTGAGCTACAGCACCTGGGAAACTGGACAAAGGCTGGAGGAGGAGCCGGGGGGTGTGGCTGGGTGAGACAGCTGGAGGGGGTTTCAGTTTGGAGATGGCTGGGGAAAGAGAGGAAGGCCCAGAACTGGGGTCTGGCCTCCCTGTCTCCCAAGATGGACCTGATTGAGGGGTCCTGTTTGCTATAACTACAAGCTCTGTTTTGGACTGTGTTCCTGTCATCTAATAAACCTTCTGTGTTACTGGCTGGCTGAGAGTCATGGTGAATCGCAGGAAGTTGGGGGTGCAGGGCCCTGACTCCCCCACACTTCGTGACAACTAGGGATACGATACAGCACTGGTTCTCAGCTGGTCATCTGCCAAAATAAACCTTGCCTTGACCCACCTCCAACTCACCTCAGCAGGCCACCGAGCCCGTTTGCCTGGTTTGCGGGGGGGAGGGTCACAACAAAAAATCGCAGTATCCTTGCAGAAGAGAGATCTCCCCCTGCCATCGGTGAGGATTGTCTCACAGCCACTGACCCCACGAGCAGGCAGCAGCTAGCCAAGGAGACAAGACACTGCTCTGCCCTGCTACATTAGCAGGGGGAGGGGGAGCAGGGGACCCCGTGTGCTACCCCTGCTTCACGTCTGGATGGGGATCCGCAGGGCTGTGTATTTAATTTTAGAGGCCCCTGGTAAAAAAAGGGTTGAGAACTATAAAAGCATGAATGAGGTGGCTAAAATGAAGAGTGAAGTGTTATTTACCCTGTCCCACAATAAAGGTGGGGGGGACCCACCTGATGAAATTAATGTGCAGAACTCCCTGAGGGTGAAAAGTATCACTGGGTTCCACAGAGCATGAGATAAGTTAATAGAGACTAGGTCCATCAAGAGTTATTAGTGAAGTGGGTCAGTGATTCAATCCCATGCTTGAGGCAAGCCCTGAATCTGGGACTACACAGAGACCAGGAGTGGAAGATGAGGGTGGATCACTTCAAATTGTCCTGTTCTGTACACTCCACTGGGCTAGACGGACCATTGGTCTGACCCACTCTGGCCTTCTTACAGGAAATCATGGAGGTGAAAGAATTAATTGCTAATGAGCTCTGCTGCCTAAGGTCATCTAGAATAACCAGTATGAATACCCTTTTTGTACCATTAAATATTAACACAGAAAACATGGGGATTCGTTATTCTAATTCCTTCATTTGGGAATAAATTTATGCATGAAAAAAATGAAACATGAAAATATATCTGAAATTTATTTTCTACATTATATAAGCCTTGCCTTGGCAAATCACTAATGCCAAAAACATATGAAACCAAACCAATAGATCAGTGGTTCCCAAACGTCAACAACCTGTGAACCCCTTTCACTAAAATGTCAAGTCTTGCGACCCCCCTCCTAAAAACGAATATTTCCAGGGATTTTCTCCTTTACCTGAGTATAAATTAGAAAAGCAGTGATCTTAGAAATAGAAAATTTGTTTTTATGACATGCTTATTGCATACCATTTATTATTATTATTCATCATTTCAGTATTTTTATTACGTTATGAAAACGGCAACACTCTTCCAAGAGCTCACTTTCGTAGCTTGTATCACTTGGAATAAGCCTGTTGTAGGACAAGGCTCGTACGTTTCCTCCAGGAGTATCCGATGTGAAACAGCAGGAAGGGATTTAAGAAGCCAACTCAGAGAGTCCCCCCTACACAAGCAGTCAGGTCTTGAGCAGTCCAGGCAGACAGCGCACGTGACAGCAAAGCTGAAACTTGTTCTTCAGAATAATTTTAAAAACAACACTAGCTGCCTATTCAATTTTAAAAACAGCAAAAATATCCACCTCCCTTTCCATTTCTTCTAAGGAGTCTTGAAGTTTAGATCTCCTCAGTGCAATAGAGATGCTTGCTTTGACCTGCTCAGCTCTTGGAAGTCCCGGGGCCCAGGCTGCTGGCCCTGGGCTGCCCGGGGTCCCTAGGGACAGCTCTGTCCGCCATGAGGGAATTTTCCCCAAGAACCCCCTGTCACATTTCACAAAGCCCAGGCTGGGAACCCCTGAGCTCGATGAATACAAAATAGCCCCTCGCCGGAGAAGGCCTCACGAGCACAAGCCCGAAACAACTGTCAAGTGCAGGCTTCAGAGCTCCGGTTTCCTTTTGACAACAGACGCGGCACGCCGTGAAGAGCAGAGCCTGCTCCTCTCACACCCAGGGAGAGCAGCCCCACCGAAGCGACGTCTCGGAACCTGGGGTAGACACTCGCAACTGCTCCTCTCCGCAGAACCCTTCGCTGCAGAGCGAAAGATCGACACGGGCTGCAGGAAAACCAGAGCCTGTGAAACGCGCCGGGGAGGCGCTGCCAGGGCCCCAGCGCGTTTTACCAAAGTCACGGTGAGGAGGCGGCCAGCCCGCGACTCCTCCTGCTTGCAGAGGAAATGTCACTGACCCGCTTCAGATCCTGAGTTTGCTCATCGGAACCGGGGACACTGGGAGCAAAACGAGCCCCTGGCCCCCTGCAGTGACACGGGCCAGGCAGGGACTAGGCGGGGGGTCACTGGTGTCTCACACCCACCTCGGCGGGGTCACTGGGGGTCACTGGTGTCTCGCACCCCCCTCGGGGGAGGTCACTGGGGGGTCACTGGTGTCTCGCACCCACCTCAGCGGGGTCACTGGGGGGTCACTGGTGTCTCGCACCCCCCTTGGGGGAGGTCACTGGGGAGTCACTGGTGTCTCGCACCCACCTTGGCGGGGTCACTGGGGGGTCACTGGTGTCTTGCACCCCCCTCAGGGGGTCACTGGGGGTCACTGGTGTCTCGCACCCCTCTCAGGGGTTCACTGGGGGGTCACTGGTGTCTCACACCCCCCTCGGGGGCGGTCACTGGGGCGTCACTGGTGTCTCGCACCCCCCTCAGGGGTTCACTGGGGGGTCACTGATGTCTTGCACCCCCCTCGGAGGAGGTCACTGGGGGGGTCACTGGTGTCTCGCACCCCCCTCAGGGGTTCACTGGGGGGTCACTGGTGTCTCGCACCCCCCTCGGAGGAGGTCACTGGGGGGTCACTGGTGTCTCGCAGCCCCCTTGGCGGGGTCACTGGGGGGTCACTGGTGTCTCGCACCCCCCTCGGGGGAGGTCACTGGGGGGTCACTGGTGTCTTGCACCCCCCTCGGGGGAGGTCACTGGGGGGTCACTGGTGTCTCGCACCCACCTCAGCGGGGTCACTGGGGGTCACTGGTGTCTCGCACCCCCCTCGGCGGGGTCAGTGGGGGGTCACTGGTGTCTCGCACCCCCCTCGGGGGAGGTCAGTGGGGGGTCACTGGTGTCTCGCACCCCCCTCGGGGGCGGTCACTGGGGCATCACTGGTGTCTCGCACCCCCCTCGGCGGGGTCAGTGGGGGGTCACTGGTGTCTCGCACCCCCTCGGGGGAGGTCACTGGGGGGTCACTGGTGTCTCGCACCCCCCTCGGGGGGGAAGTCACTGAGGGGTCACTGGGGTCTCGCACCCCCCTCGGCGGGGTCAGTGGGGGGTCACTGGTGTCTCGCACCCCCCTCGGGGGAGGTCAGTGGGGGGTCACTGGTGTATCACACCCCCCTCGGGGGGAGGTCACTGAGGGGTCACTGGGGTCTCGCACCCCCCTCGGGGGGGTCACTGGGGGGTCACTGGTGTCTCGCACCCCCCTCGGGGGAGGTCACTGGGGGGTCACTGGGGTCTCGCACCCCCCTCGGCGGGGTCACTGGGGGTCACTGGGGTCTCGCACCCCCCTCGGCGGGGTCAGTGGGGGGTCACTGGGGTCTCGTACCATCCCCTGGGGGGGGAAGCGAAACGCAGCGTCCCCCCCCCCGGCAGAGGCGGGGCCCCGATCCCGGCTGTGCCCGGGTCTCTCCGGGAGCCTGGACCCGGGGCCGGGCCGGCTACGGCTCTCGGGCCGCCGGGCTCTGGCGCGTTACTGAGGCCGGGGGCGGCTCGGCCCCCCCGCCGCGGGGAGCGGGCCCGGCCGGACCGGGCGGCCCGTGGGCCAGGGCGCCTGGCGGGGGAGGGGCGGCCGCGGGCTCGGAGCGCGGGGGAGGCGGGGCGGGCCTGGGGAGAGCGCCCGGCCCGGGCAGGCAGGGGGCGGGGCCCGAGAGGGGGCGGAGCCGCGTGAGCCCGTATGCAGATCTGTGTGCGAGCAGAGCACTGTGGGAGCGGGAGCCGGCTGCCAGCGGGGCCCGAGTTCGGCAGCGGGGCTCGGCGGGGAGAAGGCTGGGGCCCGGGGACACCCCGGGGCAGGTGGCGGCAGCGGGGGCCGGCGCGGGCGGGGCCGGCGGGCGTGTCTTGGCGGGCCCCACCGTGGGTTGAGAGTGGGGGGCGAGCGAGGGCGGGCGGCGGCCGGGGCGGCCCAAGTCATACTTACCTGGCAGGGGA